CCAACCGACCAACCAACCAACCGACCGACCGACCAACCTTTTAAACTGGAAATCTTTGATTCTGTTTTCTTTTAAACTGGAAATCTTTGATTGTGTCTTCTTTTAAACTGGAAATCTTTGATTCTGTTTTCTTTTAAACTGGGAACTTTAAATTAAAGATCAGAGCTGATTTTCCACAAATATCCAAAAACAAAAAAAGTTGGGCAAACTTTGTCAAATGAAAAACAGTTGTGCAGAAAAGACTCCCCTGCCCAGCTGGACAACACAGCAGCTCCCTTATGGCCGTTTAATCTCAACCATTACAATCTTGATGTGCGAATTGCAAATCCAGAGCAGGTGTTAACATTAAGTGACCTCCTTAATCCCTTCATGAATCCTGTGCTAGTTAGTAATGAGACAGTTCCAGCGCACCCTGCCCATCTCATCTCCATCTATCCTGCTGTTGCCCGCCTGCTATTGATTGGTTTGGAAATTGTCATGCGGGATATACGCAGCGGCCATTATGGGATTTTTTATCTTTCTGTTTGGACTGCAAATGAAAAGAGGCACCGGGGCGAGACGGCTATCTTTAATGAAAGTGACAAGCAGAGTTCGTGGTAGAAGTTGTAGGTAAAATGGTGAACAGTAAGGATGCAGTTATATGATGTGTATATATAGCTCTGTGTTGTTTTTTTTAGCTTCGCTTAAAAATGAACAAATTCATGCCCACCTATAAATTATGGTTTGTTACATTTTTTTGATTAATTGTTGGTTTATCAAATACTGCTTTTTCCAATTTTCTATAATGATAAAAACGTAAAAATGCTGTGTTGTAAAGACTGGCTATATATAATTTGTTAGATTTAGATCTGGACTTGGACTAGTCCAATTGGATGTATGAATATGCTCTGGTCCAAATCATTTGATCGTAGCTCTGGCTGTATTTTAATTTTTAATTTTTTTTTTGCATGGTAGACTTCCCCCAGTCTCAGGTCTTTGGAGCCTTTCCAGCATATTTGTAAAGTCCTTTTCTAATTCTTTACAGGTTTTCCTACCATAACAGTGGACCTTTACAGCATCAGTAATTTGACAAGCCAGACTGATCACGTGACATCTTTGCCACCCAAAGATGCAAAAAGTGCTTCTTGCTTTTCTTGACAAAACGGATATGATTGCAGCAGTGTGCGTTTACTTTAGTTCGGCTGTGGGCTCCGCACATCTGTTTTGTCACAGCTGAATGCTGCGCCTCAAACCATAATACCACAACGTGATTGGCTCACCTGTTTTTGGGGCCAGACAAATTTGATTCTTGTTGTTGTAAATGCCTAAATACTGAGGAAAGTTCAGCTTGGAATCAAGGTCACAACATCAGACTTCTCCACAACCTTATCCTCGGCCTCTCTGGAATTTTTCTTAACAGAAGATAAAGATAAATTAATCACATTTAGAAACTATTTACCAGTAAGGGGAATTTTGAAAAGAATTGAGAGCACCTGATTTTATTTAGTGGTATTAAAATATAGGAAAGTTATAAATATTGGCATACCTTCTTTTTCATATTTTTTATCAGTTAACAAAAGGAACCATGTTTCCTTTTCCATTTTCTTTAGATAAAATGTTTACAATGGTTTGTCACATAAAAGCCCAAAAAATAACTTTTAGGTTTGTGACTCTAAAAAAGTAAAAAAAGATGAAGTTTAAAGGGTATGAACACTTTGACAGGTACAATATTTTTTTCCTTTAGTTTTCCATTAAAGTGAAATACTGGGAGAGTAATTTCCATAAAGGGTTCTTACTGTATTGACTGGCACAGAGGATGGAAGCACTTAAGTGTCAGCCACCAAGGGTCTCTAGATGCCCGCAGATTGACCCATGGTTTCTGTTGCAAAGTTTCTTTTCAGTAATGCCAGAATCTTGTTCCTTTAACTGCTGTCCATTAGAAGTAAAGCTGAATTTCCTGAACTCTTGAGGGAGAAAATCTCTTGCAGCATTTGACTTTTTCACAAACTCTGCTTAACAAAGAAAAGCTGCTCTAAGAATTGACTATTGCTTCATGCAATCTTTGTTTTTTACTTTTCTCCTCTGCCACCCCACCCATTCCTTTCCTCATTCTTACACAAACTGTACCCCCCCTTTGCTTGTTATGGATTGTGACCGCCGGTAAGTGATGCATTATTCATTACAGATATGTCGCTTGTTGATGGATGGCTGTTTAAGAGCCCCGTCCATTAAATAAATCAACAAATAAAAATGCAAATTCTCACATTTCGAGTGAGGCATCCCGTCCATAGTCCTCTCCCCCCGCTCTTATTTCAACTCTCCCTCTGCCCGCTTTCTATCCCAAACAGCAGCGTTCATTTCCTGACACTCGTATAGAAAAAGATGCATTATTTACCACCCCATCCCCCCCGTTTTGGTTGACAGGAAGCAGACCAAAATAAGGAGGGCAGATTTACTTCAATTAGCTTCAACTTGTCTTTTTCATTCCCATCAACCATCACCCGTTCAGCTCTTTCACTTTCTATCTATCGTCTACTCAAACTCTACATATGAATTAATCCAAAGCCAAATGTACCCTTTTAAAGCCTATCAGCTATCATTGCCTTGATATAGCTTGAAAACATGACATATCAAGGTCCATAGGTACGTGTGGAGGAGCACCAATGTGCCCTGATTGGGAGCTGCACCAGTATGCGTGTCTGCTGGCCACCCACATGCATATCAACAAGTGCATCCTGAAGATCGCCTCTACCTGGGAGAGATGTGTGCAGAGCTGCGCGATGCAAATCAGTGCAGCTTTAAACGAGCAGAGAATTATGTTGGCAAGATCAGTGGAGCGTGCTTTAAAGAATTCATGTTTTGTATCTGGAATGGTCGTCGTTCGGCTGTGTATACACTGAATAATTTATCAAGCCAGCCAGACTGAGGGATTGAATCTCTATTAGCTTAATCTCCCCCGTTTTGGTTTATTTATTTCACTGCACACTTCCTCATTTCTATTCCAGGGCAGAAAGCACCGGGTCTTCTCCTGCTTATTCTCACACACCTGCAAAAATCTTTTTTTGCAGAGATGCCTCAGTGGTTTTGACTTGTTAACTCTGCTTGTTAGGAACTTCAGCAAGAAAGATTTTTGTTAAGACTCGACGAATTTTGCTTTCAGACTATCTGTGTTAACAAGTAAAAGGTGAATGACAAATCTTTCCTTCAAGTAGATTTCAGACTGTCTCAAATTGATCCTCCGGCTTGTGACATCCTTCCTTAACTGCAGGCATCTACAGTAGGTGGGAGCGTTTCTGCAGATTCCTCTGCTACATTGCAAATCCGCACTGCCACCCATAACTGCTTTAAGTCTGTTATTAATCCATCCTGTTTTTCCGTCCGTCCATCCTGAACTTTAGCGTTTTAGACATGAATAATGTGTTGGAACCCTGCATTAAAGGATTGTTTCTCTAAATGACTCCTATTTTTAAAACATAGCCTGTAAATCAAACTAATGTTAGGTAGAATGGAAACCTAATAAGACTGAATCAAAGCAAATATATGTTTTCTTTCAGGTTGGATGATTCTTTGGCTGAGGTATTGGATATCTTTAGTCCCTTCTCTGCCCAAAAGCAGCACAAGCCTGCTGCTGGAAGACCCAAAACATCACAACACAGTTCAGCCCTTGCTGGCTTTAAATCCGGAAAGATAAACCTTCTTACTCCTGGTGGGAACCATCGACAGAACCTTCAGCAGGACCTGGAAGAAAGCCAGATACTTGAAGACATTTTTTTCATTTGCTAACAAATAGAATAATTTACTTAAATGTCACCACCTAATCGATGGCATTTTATTGTCTTGAGTAATTTCTAAAATTAGGATTTATTTTTATTTTTTGTTTATCTCTTTTGTATTAACACTTTTTTTACCATACAAATAAATGTATATTTACTCTGAACTTCTTTTGTAAGTAAATCATGCTTTACCCGAGGAATGTTTTTAAACGCTGAGCTGCAGTTATTGCCTCTGAAGACCTTGGCAATGTAAATTCAAACTGAATCTCATGACTCACAATTGTCCGTTCTGATTCTGACTCGATGTATTATGCATACATCTGCAGCCTCAGTAAATCCCTGGGAATGTAAGGCAGTTACTCCTTTTTACTACAAACACCTTTCTTTGTATTTCATTTTTGTGGAGTGTGTGAGACATGACGCATAAGTGACATTATTGATTATATTATATCCATCCATCCATCCATCCATCCATCCATCCATCCATCCATCCATCCATCCATCCATCCATCCATCCATCCATCCATCCAGAGTTGATTTAAAACTCACTATAACCTTCAGTAGCAATATAACCATTTTATAAAGGTTAATTAACTGCTTTTATTTGAGATAGAGAAGCAACAGTTATTACCACTGCTGCTGAAAATATAAAATAAATACAAAATTTATTAAAATAAATTTTGCATAATTATATTAAACTTGTTGTAGTTGGTTAATTAGGTCAGTAGGGGGAGTGGTGGCCTAGGGGTTGGGCTATAGGGTTTGAATCCTGAGGTTGTGAGTTCGAAACCCACTCCCACAGACTGCCACCTTGAGACCCTGAGCAAGATCCTTAACCCCTGATTGCTCCCCGGGTGCCCAACGATGGCAGCCCACTGCTCCCCAAGGGGATGTGTGAAATGCAGAGCTAAAATTCTCCAATGTGAAATCAATAAAGTTAAAATATTAGTTTTCAAACCGAGGGTTGTCAGGGGACCTTAGATAATTAGAGGGAAGGTTAAAAAATATACAATAAAGGACTACATTAAAAAACCAAAAAAATAATTCTCCTAGATTATTACTATTTCAAAATGATAAAAAAAAAAGACTTGTGATGATATACTGAGATGAAAGACCAAGAGGATTTAAAGCTGAACGCTCACGTCTCCCATATACACAGACTACAATCTATTCCACCTTAGCTAAGAAGCCAGAAGCCAATGTTGATCAGTTGTCCACTTCCCTTAAATGTAGCTTTAAAACTGTTACCTTTTAATTTGATTCATAAGCAGCCCTCCTTCGCCTTCTATGATTGTTTTTTGTGATTTAAAATCTTTTCATACAGTTAGATTGGGGAATTTTTCAACCAAAGTGGTCTCACTGCTTTACCAGGACTTTGTGTTACACCCTCTGTTTAATTGGTTTTGCAGAACTGGTTTGTTTTCCCACAGCCGAATAACCTAAACGCCACATCATTACGCCACAATAAATATCTCATCCACTCAGTGTTTCTGCCTCCTAATTGTGTTTACGGGGGTTTGCAGTGCAACTCGCTTCCTCTATGCTCTGTGCAGCAGGAAAAACTTCCAATAACTCTGGCACTTTATTACAACTTAAAAAGAATAGGTAAAGTAAGACAGAAAGTCAGTGTTCAGTTAAAGCTTTAACCTTTTTTTAAACCCCACCATACTTTGACCATGGCAAGATGTGAATGTTTTACATCAACAAACAGCAAAATCTCCCATTGATAAATTCTCAGTAATTATGACACCACACAGATTACATTATTCTAGACTGTGCTTTATTATTGGGCTAAGCTGAGACGCATCATTCATTTAAAATTACAAAAAGAGGAGTCCAGGGGACCAGAGAATGGTGCAGTCTGGAGAGACGGGGTGGGAGGAGCGGGACCCTAAAGCGGACTGCCCAATCAGAAGCTCAGCTCATTAGGAACCTGGCAAAGCTTTAATATGCAACATTCATTTCCCCAGCCCTCCATCTGTGCTGAAATTTGGGAAATACAGTAGATTTCCAGAACACTTTGAAAACCACATGATGTAAAATGTGATTCTAGCAACACTACTGAGCCTTAGAAATAAGATCACACTGGTAATAGCACAGAAAAAAAAGAAATAAATAAAAAGAAACCTGGATTTTTCTTTTCTCTTTTTGATGAATTAGTGCAGTCATTGTTGAATTTTGTTTTTGGCAGAAAATATGGGTTGAACAAGATCAGAGCTCTGTCAAATACTTGAAGTCACAATGAAAAACAAATGCAAGTAATCAGTGATGAACAAGAAACAATTATTTCTAATTGCGAAACCTATTGGAACGAAATATCCAAGAGTTTAACCAATTTTGGAGAAAAGGCCCAATAACAAGAGGACAATTTCCTGACAAAAAACAGTTTTTTCCAGAACAGCATGAATCTATAGTTACAGTATGTATAAGGCTTTAGCGTTTTACTGCATTGTTGAGTTCATTTGTGAAAGAAAAAAAAAATCAGTCATTGAAGAAGTAAAATTCAGATTAGGGCTTTTGAGGATTAGGGGCGACAGCAGAGCTCAGATCTTGAATCTAACAGCACAAATAAATACACAATAAATTAAATAAATAGATAAATAAATGATTAAAATCTGTTTCTGACATCAGTTGGTCAATAGGAGTTTTTTTTTTTTTTTTTGGTTTTTCTTCTCCATCACCAAAGAAGTGCTGAAGGTTTGGTCCCTCAGGCAGGAACAAAGATCATCTATGGACCACGACGGCAGCCCATGCATGTCATATAAAAAAAGATTTGGTCACGTACCAACTCATAGAAAAATAATGCTGTGAAAGCATGCATATCATCTCAGACATGACTCCTAAACAAATATCTAAAGGAATAAATGAATAGAACCCACTGAAGTTTTTTAAACCTTTTGTTTTTATAAAATAGGTCAATGTGTGTCTAAGCTCTAACTGAGGTCAATGCTCTCCCTGACTGTATTCTGGATAAATGCCTTGGTCAGGTCCTACAGTTTTCACCGTAACCTAGCGACTGTATTTTTTTTCTTTTTTTTTTTGTACCTGGTTTCAATGAGCATTATCGTGTTTTCATTCATATATTCATATTTATATATATATTTATTTAAAGTATTTAAAGTACTTTATCCAGTCCTTGTAGATGGAAGTAAAAGTCCTATAAAATATGCAAACCTATGTACAGAGGAAAAACAGAGCAAAAAAGAAATAATTTACAGTATATTCATCAGTTTATGTATATATTTATATATATTTATATTCAAACTTCTGCTCTGTCTCTTGTTGAACCAGTCAGTTTAACTTTTTTTTCCAACCTGTAAACTTGCAGCTTTGATTCAGAGCAAGTGAAGATTTCCAATACTTCACATGATTGCTTTACCTTTCCTTACATCATGAAAACATGGGTAAAAGACATGGATGATTGCTCAGACAAGCTCTGTGTACGCTTCTCTTTGTTTTTAGAAAGATTTCTCAGTGCAGCAGCGGGGAAGTCAAAAAGGGATAGACGGAGCTGCGATCAGCGGCTAAGGCTGAGCCACATTTTTGTTGATGTTATTTTGAAACAGAAACAGTTTGTTTAAATGCACCTAATCATGTTGGTCATCTTGGTTGCACTAAATCACACGCTTGGTGAATTAAGTACTGCACTAAAAAAAAACAAAAAAAAAAACAAGCTGGGATGTGTGGAGTGGCTGTTTTCTTTCCTTGCTAGATTTGGGAGGTAAATGTTAAATTATTCAAAGAGCTAAAAAAGGTTAGATGCAGACGCCAGGGAACCAGCATAATGAGCAGTTTATAGCTAAACTGGTAATGGCACCTAACGGGAAGCATTGTCTTCCAAAAGTGTCATATAGCCTTATAAATATGCATATCTATAAATATTCATTAAGTATTCCCACCAGCTCAATATGTGTTGAGGGGAGTCCAATAAATCCACGTCTGTTGACCTTTTAGAGGTGTATAGTAGGTGTTTACAACATTTTCCTGTGGAATGCTATAGAAAACTCTATGCTGAGCAATCATGAAGTCAGCCTCAGTAAGAGAGCAGTTGCATTAAGTGGAAGGGTTAACTTCATTTTGGAGCTGAAGGCAGTAGAGCCTTCATTTCTGAATACAAATTATGGCAAAGATGTGTAAAAAGCAATAAAATACATTTCTTTAAATGTAATTTCAGTAAACAACCAAAATCTTTCCCTTTTTTTTGTGCAACGGGACTTTTAAATGGTGGTCCAAAACTTCCTGTTACTCTGGAGGTAGAGAAATGTGTAAAAGGGCTAGTTTCTATTCACAGATCTTTACATTGGGATAGACAACAGAAAATATCCCATTTAGGTAAGGCTGATGTCCTCTCTTCTTAGCTATTAGGGAACAGCAAGAAGTTAAAGCAAAAAAACTTGCACTTGCAAATGTACAGGAACAGTTTGAAAAAACTTAATTTACTATTGGAACTATAATCTACTAGGCTGGAAGATAGCCCAAGTTTATAAGTGTATTTCATTAAATTAGAAAGTTCATCTGTTTTACTCATTCAAACCAAAATGTAAAACCGGTTGATTCCACAATTATTCCTTCCACTAAACTTTCCTTCTCATTTTTTTAAAGAAACTTGATCGTATTTCATCTATATTCATCTATAGTTTTGTACTGTTTAGACTGCAATTAAAGTCCTCGTTGGAAGGTGATTTTCTGTAACCAACAACAAAGGTAATATTGACTCTTTCAATCGTAGAGGTTGCTGACTCTGGTTTACAACATAATTAGGAATTTAGGAAAAATAAACCACTGAAACCTCATACTGTGTATAAAGAATGGAGATTAACTTTTTCAATGGAATATTTATGTAAATGAAAATGTAAATCCCTTTATTGTCTCACAATGGGGAAATCAACTCTCTGCATTTAATCCATCCCCTTGGGGAGCAGTAGGCTGCCATTGTGCGGCGCCCGAAGAGCAGTGTGGGGTTATGGTCCTTGCTCAGGAACCCAGAGTGCAGGCTTTGGGAATCGAACCCGGTACTTGTAGCCTTCACAGAGCACAAGTGTACTGCCCTAACAACTAGGCCAACACTCCCCTTTGAAAAGATTAAATAAACTTTTCTAAGATGTCGAACTGCACAGTGAGCAGGATGGTTTGACGAAAGAGTAAAGTTTCTAAAGGTATTATTAGACAACTGTAACAAAGAATAGGATCCTAAAAGTCACAACGTCTCCATAACAACCAAGTATTTTAAGGCTTTTTGCACATCTTTGACAGGGTTATCCAGAACTGTGTCGTTGTCCATTTTATATATATATATATATATATTTATTAAGTCAGATGGGAAGATGTTATTAGGCATAATGAAAGTTAAAAGTAAATGCTTCACGTTGCCAGCAGAGATTTGCTATTAAAACGTTATATGAAACCAGATTTCGATCATCTTTATCCTCATTGCAATAACGTCATAGCTGTAAATACTGCTCAGTCACTTCCCTCATTCAGTCACGCCTACTTTATTCTCCAGCTTCGACCAGAGGAAGGTAGTTACAGGAGCCCTGCACACTGCTTTGATAGTTAACACCTGTGCCAACAGGTTACCTAATGCCCACGTTTTATAGTCTGATCACGTGTCTACTTCCGCTTTAAATGCATGTTTTTGTTTATTTTTGCAAAGACAAAGGTAGACCCAACAGTGATCGGACGATTTGCTCTGTTTGACATGCGCTAAAGCTCTCTACATGGCTGAGAAATGATATGGATTTGCCTGGGGTTTTTTGACATCATAATAGCGCATTGGCTGCTTGCAGAAATGTGTGTTCAGGTTCTTTGTGTCTGTCTTTGTTTTTGTTTTCATTTTTGTGGGAGCACAGTGCTGGATGGCAGATTTTGCAGGTGACAAGGCACACCTCGATGTGGTGACAGCCCATACGCTACATGCACTTTACTGAATGCAAAAGAGAGCAAGGGTTGTGAGACGTATTCGTTTTGGTTCAAGTTTCAAAGAGAAGTTTGTGTGTGTGTGTGTGTGTGTGTGTGTGAGCTCACATGATATGTTTTGGAATAGAGTCGAAGATAATTGTCCTTTTCTTCTAAAGAAAAAATCCTCTTTAGCCTGATTCTCTTAAAGCCTGCTACTGAGAGGTGGCTTTTTGCATGTTTCAGATAATATTTACAGAAGATACGTTTTCTCATACGCGCTGATCTTTTTTTCTTTTCTTTTTTTTCTTTTTTCTTTTTTAGTAACATGTCATGTGTCAGCATATATGTTATCAGAGATAGGAATGCCTGCAGTTTTGGGGAGCTGCCAGATGTGCGGGTCTTCCCAAGCAGAGCAATGCTTCAAACTCCTGCTAAACTCTACAAAAAAAGGACAGCTCAACTTAGTCAGTAGCCGCTCTATGTACAGTCACACATATATAAAATATGTGCATATAAATACATATATTTGTGATTAATATCTATTATCCATATATACTGTATATATGAATACATTGCCTTGAATGCTTGTTATACATTTATATGTACTGCAAATATAAACAAGTTCATATATTTCAAACGTTTCGGATGTTCTTTTATCTGTGAGGTTAGGATGTCGATTTTAAAAAAGATAAGGCTGTGATACGGAGCAGCCCCTCCCATGCATTCGCCATCCCTCCCGAGACAAAAATGAAAAGGGGAACAAAAATAAACATTTTGCGTAATTGTAAACTAACGAAGTGAGAGACCCTTTTTGGTCGTCTGAAATAGTTCTGCCTGTATTCCAAAAAAGCATATCATTAATATATATGTATATATACAGGTTTTGTATATATTCGAAATGTACACTTGTTTCAAGTGCAACTCTCCAGGCAGGCGCCGCTGACTTAAAGAGATGCAGTGGTCCAAGTATATTAGAGCTACAAGTCCTCAGCAATAAAAACGTTTGGTCTTTTGGTCCCTAAAACAACTAAGGAATGACGGATAAGACTCCCTGGAATCCGTTGCCGTGGCTCTCCTCTGCAACGGTGTTCCCTGGAAACAGACAGGCACTCCGAGCTGAAGATGGCCATCCCAAATCTGTGTCCTGAAAATGTCACATTCCCTACTGCAGTTCTCTCTCCCTCTCTAACAATTTGCACTTAGTTGCTTGAAGTCTTAGAAATTGGTCTTCAAAAGTCATTTGTCCAAAAAGAAACTCAAACCATCTCACAGAAGGATCTCCTATGGCAATCCTCTATTCAGTTTTTAAAAAGTTTTTATTTCCCGTTGGACTTTTGGCATCCATATTCCCTTGCAGAGTTCAGTAGAAATGGTCATAATCAGTAGGTCTGATGTAGGATCTTTAACTTTTTTTCCCCTTTCAGCATTCAAGTAAAAGTGTTTGTGGTCCAGAAAAAGGTAGCTGTCATTCAAGCAGGGTTTTTAGGTGGAGGAGGTGTATATTAGTGTGCAGGAGAAAAAGAAGTCATGGTGCTAACCAGAAATTCTCTCTTGAGTTCACTAGTTTAAGTACATCCAAAGGGAGGTGTCCTGGACCTGGCCAATGCTCACTCTTCTCTCTCTTTCTCTGAAGCAGCCTTTGTGGTCCGGAGGCTGAGTTTTAACTCAGCAGTTGGTAGCAAGTGGTCAACATGTTATTCAGCTCAACAAATCCTAAAACGAAAACACAGAAGAAAAGATTGTATCAACAACGGTATCAGCTTTCAATTAAAATTTTCTTACAGACTTAAAGATGCGTCATGCGGCCATACATAATACAGCCCATACTATCCAGGGACTTGAAAGAGGATTTCCCTAAACTTGTTTTTTTAATTTAAAATTTTTTAGAGAACTTAAAAGAAACTTTGTAGTGAATTTTGTGGACTTCACAAACTGCATTTTCTAAATAAATTGCAATAGGTTTTCAGGAAAGTGCATAAGAAAGTTATGGAAAATTCCTGAGAAGTAAATGGTAGCTCTCTAAAGGTAAGTCTAAAGTTCCCAGAAAGTACTGGGTAAGTTTTGTGAATGCTCCATTATGTCACCTCATAATACGGCTAGTTTTCTAGTATTAGTAATAGCAAGTTATAACTCCCCCCAAGAAACATCAACATTAAAGGCAGGTCCTGAAAAGTAAATAGTCTTTTTTTTGTAAAGTTCCTATAAAATATTTGCTGAGATCTTTGTAATTACTCATTAGGCTTAACTTTTAGAGCCCAATTCCCAACGGTACTCATGAAGGATGTATGAAATTCCTGGTAAGCTCCAGGAAAGTACCGTACCATAAGACACTTTTATAATACAATTATCCAGCAAGTTCCAGGAAAGTACCATGAAAGGTATTGGCAAGTTCTATGTAAACTTAGTGAAAGTTAATTTCTTTGAAACCACCATGAGGGCTGCAGGTACATTTCATGAACGTACCTAATATGAATCATCTAATAATAAGCATGTAAAATTCCATGATGGCAGAGTAGTAAAAAATGCCCAACATGTGGCTTGTTTGACAGAGTTGGCAAGAAAAATCATGTTCTTTTTTAAAGAAGGTTTACTGGCACAGATTCAATATTTAAAGTTGCATCTGAGCAAGAAAAATAAAAGACTTTTGGAAATTTTTGACATTTTGACAAATGAAGTTAGTGCAATATTAGCAGCAGCACATTGGGTTAAAACCAAGAAAAGCATATCAGCTCCAGGGCCTCAAACACATTGCAAAAGGATGATGGTGTGGGCTGCTTTTGTACTTGCAGCCAAGGGATCTGTTAACCTTCGCAGTCACTAAGTCAAACCACAAACTCCTCTGTAAGCTACAGCATTTTTATTATTACATCGGGAATAGATGGAATCTGATCATAAGCTGAACAAAATATTAATCATCGCAGCAAAAAAAGGTGCTTTGGTCATCCAGTAAATACTGAAATCCTAACAAGCATTAGTGAACGGACTGAATTCTCCCCAGATAAATGTGATAAACTAATCACATCTACGAAGACTTGGCCGAAGGTAGTTTCCAAAGCTGCTGCTTTGTGTATTTCTATTTCTACTCACTGTATAATGCCAAAACAATTTTAAGATTCTCTGAAGCTTCTTGGACAACAGCAAAAAAGTTGCAGTGAGTTACTCAGAAGTCCCCAGGGACAAGTGGGCAGAGGCCGTTGCTATCTCTACAAATAAATATTTAGTTTCAAAATGTTAAAATATGTAAAAATAACAGATCAAAACTTGTGTCGTGTATATATATGGCTTGACAAATACATATGAGATTGCAATATTTTGCCAGCGATTTGCCCCAGGACACTGTGTGGTTCAGCTGGTTTGTGAGTGGGTGATAAGTTGCCCTTGAATGAAGTCATCAGCGGTGAATGAACGACGCGGCGCGAACCCTCCATCACGCAGATGAAGGGAGGAGACAAAGAGGAACGGCACAATTACTCGCCTGAGGGGTAATAAATGCCTCCCCCTTGGAACCATTTTCTTCTCTGCGCAACACACTGAACCATTTACCAATTATCTTTTACCTACAGGGTAACATGCAGGGTCACTTACTGTAAAGATGTTCTGCAAACACAGGAGGCGGCATGTAAGGAAAATGCTCCTACAGCTTTGTTTGTGTTTGACAGACGTTGAAACAGAACATCAAATCTATTTTCAATATCAAGAACTTTACCGGGGGCCTGGATTTCTGTATTGCAAACAAAAAGAGGATGCAAACTTACATTTTCTAGATATTCTAAACCATCAAAAGGCTTTTATTTAAATACTTTCTTTGTTCCAAACCATTTTCTCCCTGCCTGGTCCCATGTGAGCTTCATTAGCATAACCTTACCAAATATATTCTTAAACTGTCGGCAAAGGAGTAAGACTTCACTAATCTTTACAAGCATTTTACAGATGATCAGGCTGTTATTAGGTGTCTGCGAGTGTTTTATGGCTTCCATAAAAGGTTATGGAAAACACATCAGGCGGTATCATAAATGGGCCCACCGTCGGAGCATTTGCCAGTGTAATATTGCAGCACTTGTGGACGCTTTGGTTCAGGTAATCAGTTATCGGGCTCGAGTGTCACCTGACCTGTCTTCTCCTGTTGACAGCGCCTGCCCCCGTCGGCCACGATGGCGTTGGCCAGTTGGGGCAGGGGAGGAGGGCTAGTACGGGCGGTTGGCGTCCTTTGGCCTCTTCAGCTGGACCTTCAGTCTCTTCATGCCAATCTGGAAGCCGTTCATGGATTGGATGGCAGCTTGGGCACTACCTGGGTTGTCAAAGCTGACAAAACCTGTGTGGGGGGTTGCATAAGGAAGAGACAGGGGAAGGAGTTGTTAGATAAAGATGCAAGAGAAGATTAGGCCTCTGTACTGTGATACCATTATAAATCTACTGCAATATATTGTCCTCAGAAGTCACCATCAAATAGAGTCCCCCTGCATGTAGTGTAATCCCTGTACTAATTCAGCGGTTATGTGAAGGCTTCAGAGGTTTGTTAGAGAACATTAGCGAGCAGACATCAACATTACAACCAAGGGCCGCAGCAGGTCAGGTATAAAGCTGTGGAGATGTTTAAAACAGGGTTAGGTTATAAAACACATCCCAGACTTTGGACACCTCACAGCACTGTTCAATCCATCATCTGGAAATGGAAAGAGTATGGAGCAACTATAAAACCTCAACAGAGGCCAGGCAAGGAGGAGATTACTCACGGAAGCAAAGAAATAGTTTATGGTAATGCCAGAGGAAGTTTAGAGATCCATACTTGGGTGTCAGAGTGTTTTAACTGGACAACCGTTAGCTGTGATTGATATAACAGAGTATTTAGGAGAAAGTAAAAGTTAACAGAAACTCTTAATAATATCAATATAAATCTTCTCCTGTGGCACGTAGCCGATCAATACATGCTTAGTCATTCTTTAAGAGCCCGGCGGCGTCTGCCCACTTCTATCAGTGTGCCCCAGGGCAGCTGTGGCTACAGTGTAGCGTGCCACCATCAGTCCCCTGACTTGCAAAAGGTGCTATATAAGCCCATTTACCATTTATTATGGATTCAAGGTAGTTTAGTACAGATTTTAATTTGTGAACAATAAAAAAAAAAAAAGTATTTCATTTTATTTACTTATTTATGTTGGTCTACAAAATCCCTGAAAAAGCTATGCAGGACTTCATGGTCATTGGTGACAGAAATAAGGCAAAGTAACATAGAATAGAAATGTCAGCTCATAATGGTTTTCTATCATGCACAGTCTATGAAGCTTTAAGGGATTCTTCTAAGCTCATGCATGTGGTGTAAAATTAATGGGTAAGAGCTAATTTGTTAATTGGTTGCAACATATGGACCAACCATCAAACATTCCCCACCATTCATTTTAAACTTGACTTTAGTGTCAGTGATAAATTGAGACAATAATTCTGTATAATGGAATGTTTCTAGCAGAGCTTCCATAGAGTGCGAGAGCCCACATTCGTATTAGATGTAAAAAAAATATAAAGAGGTATCTAAATGCAAAAATAAAAATGTTTAAGCTTTACACTAAAGCAACAGTAAGAATAGACTGAACAAAATATGTTTTGTATGGTTTTAAATAAAAAAAAATGGACACACATTCAGTAAAAAGAAAAATCAGAAAACAGTAACCATTGATTCTGTTCATTTTTACCCACCAAAGCATTTACTTTGGTTTGTCGCCCGATCCACAAACACTTTGGAGGAGATGACATTACCGAAAGGCAGGAACATCTGCATCAGCTCTCCATCCCCAAACTCCTGAGGGAGGTGGTAGATGAACAGGTTGCAACCCTCTGGTCCTGCATGAAAACAGTGACAGAAACACACAAAAAAGAAAGAGATGGAGAGACGGTTGAAGGGCAGGGAAGAGGAGAAGGAGAGAAAGGTGAGAAAGGAGTAAAGTTAAAAGCAGAGCTAAAATAGGAAAATATCCACTCATAAGAAAAAAAAAACACCTTTTGCTCTTACTGCTTCAGCTCAGCACACATTTCCTTTAGGATTCAGGTCCAACGAGTTTTTCAGTGATAACCATTAAAAGATGCTGTATCAAATGATGGGTTCTTCTATTTTGCCTTATTTTGCTTTATTTTAATATTTCCTAAAACCAATAACTCTAACATTGCAATGGAGAAAAAGAGCTCACAGCCTTCTTCTCCATACCTAACAATAGGCATAATGCTTCCCCACTTCAATCATCCTCTGCTTCGTATCAGATTTATGAAAAAAAAAAACACATTTAACGTTCAATGAGCTAGCACTGATTCTTTGATTGTGATTAATAAAAAAATCCAGACTTAATTTAGTGACACTACTGGCTTTTATTTTATAAAATTCGTTAATCTCTGTATTCTCTAGTCAACTGACAATAATTTAAAAAGCATTTTTAGGGCTCACAAAAATGGTGGTGTTTTGTTTATTTTTATATTTACTTTTTCCTTCTTTTAATGACCACTAAAAGCTGCTAAAAGCGTAGAATCCTTGATGGTAGTGGATTGAAAGGTGTTTTAATCTTATCCACAAGAGGGCAGTAATGTTCCAGATATGAGCCTTTTCCTCCTTGAGGTCATTAAGTTTAAATAAGCAGGTTTACAGCAAAGTTTTAGATGCTCTTTCTCATTCATTTGCTTTGATTTAAAATTCAGTTTTAAAGACCTTTCATCTTTCAAAAAACGATTTGCCATAAAGCATAAAAAAAAACTCCAAACTGAGCCTTTAGACTCAGGTTGTTGATTCAAACAAAAATACTACTGTGTTGTTTTGTCAAATAGCTGCTGAAAACACTCGAAAACATAAAGTATTCCATAAAAGCAGTCTGAAAACTCAAGAGAAGGACAAAGCTAAATAAAATGTGTGCAATAGTGTTTGTGTGTGACTGTGTTACCTTCTCTTTGCTGCTGTGGAATGATGGGCGGAGGGTGGGGGAAGGCCTGGCTGATCTGACCGTATGCGGCGGGGTAGGCTGCTGAGACCCACACACAGAAACACACACATGCACGCCGCGGATCAGATAACAGTCATGACTACAGCGCACACTTGAATACATACAAACAATGTGATATATGCAGGAGCACAGCAAGCAATCGATCAGATAGCATACACAATGGAGTCTACGTGTTGCACAAACACTGCCTTGGAGAGAATAAACTGATCCAGTTAGATTGAATGTTACATGATCAAAATTCTAATTTAAAGACAGGAGTGCTTATCTTTGCTCTCCACCTGATTTTGTTTTTTCTTTCTTTCTTCCCACTTTTTGTGGTATGAGACACAAACTAGCATCCATCCATGCACACAGACAGACACACGGATCAGCTCTGCGGTCAGAATGACAGACAGACCTGCATACTGCTGGACTCCAGTGTAAGCCTGCTGGAGAGGATCGGCTGCGGTGGGACTCTGAGCTGCTTCAGCAGGGAAAAGGAGAGGAAAGGAGGGAACAGAGAGAGAGGAGGATGTCGGGCGGAGGTGTGTGCAGGGGGGGAGAGGTGAGGCAGAGAAACGGATGGAGAATGTAGATGAAAGAGAGGGCACGGAGAAAGAGAGGACGAAACGATAACAAGGGGAAAGAAGGAGAAGAGCAGACAGAGAGGTTAGAGACAGCTCACTTTTGCTTCAGTTTGTCCAAAACTTTTCACTTATCTTGCCCCTAAAGCTTTACAAACTAGCTTTATAATCTGAAAAATAGATAAAACTTTGCAGGAAGAAGAGACAAAAAAACAAAACAAGACAAGACAAGAGTACCATTTTCACCAAATTAAAAGAACCAAAGTACCACTAATACCAATCATGCAAACCCAGTTTTCCTTATACAAACAGAGCTAAATGCGCATCAGTGGACATATCTGTTCCTATGAGTCGCCCTTATACATCAAATTCCTTTCCTGCGCTTTGTACCTATCTGTCTCCACATCTAATGCATGCATAGAGTACAGCACTGAGAGGACACACACAGAGACACACACCGATAAACCCAATATCACTGCAAACAGCCAAGAAATATCGAACACACTGAGAACCGACGGCAACACTAAAACAGTCACAGATGGCCTGAAGGAAAGAGGAGAGGTAAGGGAAAAAATAGAGCTCTATAAAAGTTACAGAGTGTGAAATCATATTGTGGCCTTCTTTCTCAACCTGTGAAACATATTTTGCTCGGGGCCACTAGGCAAAGGTTAATCTCAGGTCAGGGGTTTCTGAAAGGCCGAGATCCCACTTTTGCCTTTCCAATCCCATCAAATATTAAGGTGCTGCACTGTAATGTTCTACTTTTAAAAACTTTTAAAACATAAGCTATTTAAATTTTTATGTGGTTGCACATTTGAAGGATAATTTCTTGGGTCCTTATACAGTGCCTTGCAGAAGTACCCGTTACACATTTAGTCATTTTACCACCACAAACTTTGTGAAAGAGACCATCAAAGTGGTGCATGCTTAAAAAAAAAAAAAAAATGTGGCCAATGATTTGGATTTAATGTCCTCAATATGAACTAAGGGTTGTTGTTCTTGTGGATGGTGAACCTCTGCCCCGAACTCAGATCTTTTGTAACGTCTAACAGATTGCCCTGTGTTTAACTCCATCTGTCTCTGACAATCAGCCCTACCCCAGCTGAAGAAAAGCAACCCACTGCATAATGCAGCGACTTCCATCTTTCACCATTTGGGTAGTGCATTCAGGATAAAGTCAACTGTTGCTTTTTCTCCATATCTGGTATTTTGCATATAGATCAAGAAGTCTCATTTGTGGCTCCTATGATCAGACCAGCTGCTTCAATAAGTTTGCTGTGTCCTCTATGTGCCTATTGGCAAACTCAAGAAAACTTATCTCAATAAAGACCTTTTATTTACTACCCTTCTTTATAAACATTGCCCTATGGATCTCAGCAGCTCCTCAATAGGTACCAAGACTACCTGTGGGCTGCTTCTCAGATAAACGCTGTCCTTACCCAGCCTGTCTGTCTAGATGAATTGTGATTTACATATTTTAGAAAATGGGTGAAATGCTGCTCTGCTTAAAGCTTAAGCTTGTTTTACAACCCAAACCTAATTTTAATACATAATATCTGACAGCTAAATTATGCTTTTTGTTCACTTATCTTCTCTAGCAAAGCTCTGATGCCCTAACGAAATAGCAGTATTTATGAAGTTGAAAAATAGTGTTGTAAGGCACTGCACGGATTTTTTTTTGTTGTTAGACTGGGAAGTGTTCACCAAAAGAGGATTTGTAGTTCATGTGTTTTATACAGAGTGGTCAAATTTATCATGCCAAATATATTTCTGTTGGGTTCCTCTTCCTCTTTCCTACACATTCAGGCCTTAGAATACCTCACAGAGTTTCATCTACAAATTCAATAACATCTACGAAATAGTAAGGATTCAAATCTTTCAGACCGTTTGGGAAATGAGTGTTAAGGTGTGTGGGGGTGGGTTGGAGGGGGATGGGGGAGGGGAGCTCTACCTTCTGAGAGAGAAGAGAGGAAGCAGCCACCCTGAACCCCAAAACAACTCCTCGGAGCCACGCCCAAGCCGTTTTTCTCTGAGTCCTCCCTAAAAACCACCTCTTGCAACACTGCGGAGACAAGAGTGCAAAGAAAAAAAAAAGCTGAGTTTTTCTTCTTCCACCTCCTCACAAAAGCACTAGCCACGGCTCACGACACAAGCCCATACTCACACAGTCAGAGATGCTCACCCCCACGCCACGTTCACAGAGCTTTACTTTAACCTTACCAACATGTTTTGGGGATAGTAACATATGCAAACTGGCACGGTGTACACTTTAAATTCAATGGTATGTAGAAAGCTTTGCTGTCTTGGAATACATAGTCTAAACTAAAACCAAACAGTTGAGCTTTCAACATTTTTACTTTTTCAATGACTTCTTCCAAAAATGATTAAATTTACCAGGATAATGGTGGATCCCATTGGTAAAGACAGCTTCTGCTGGTGGCTGCCCATTGGCCTGGGGCGGTGGCATGCCGGTAAATCCATTGACGCTGATGGGTGAGGGGATGCTGGTCACTGTGGGGGCACTAATGCCCGGGGGAGTGCTGCCACCTGCAATCACAAAAACATTGACAAACATTGTGTTGTTTTTTTTCTCTGCCCACGATAAAAGATGGAAAGGGTTTGTTTTGACCAGCCACCGAGTGACTCTCGTAAATGTCAGAGGGGCTGGTCCAGTGGACCGGTGAAGACACTAAATGTCAGGGCTGATTTCTTGGCCCTGTATGACCCTCAGGGTTACACAACAACCATTAGACCTGAATGGCTGAGATGATCCTGCAGAGAAGTGAAAACTGTTGACATCAAACCAGCCATGCTTACAGTGGATACCTAGAATCACATGTAATTCTAAGTATCCACTGTATGCATTTGAAATCAAAGATGGTGGATTTGAGTCTTTCTATTTCTTGTAAATTGTAAATTAACGTTTTTAGGAATTTCTTTACATGTGAAATAAAGTGAATAATAAAAGTTAAAAGGAAATGGTTCAAAGTTATTTTCATTTGCAGCAACAATTTTCTACATTAAAATACCTATCTGATTAAAATGTCCAACAAGCCTAAAAAAAATTGTTTCTATGGAGACTTGAGAACACTGAAATGACAATGTTTGCAGGAGATTGTTTTTATATCAGTTCCAAATAACTTTCTCAACAGAAACAATAGGCCTCATGAAAAAAAAAACATTCGTACAAACAATATTGTTCTTAAAATGTTCTTAGGAATGATTTAGGAAAAAATTTTGCATTCACCACTTTTGTACTATTATTATTCTCCTGTATGATGAAATTTTATAAGGGCAATTAGTCAGCTGTTATCCAAACCTAGTTTTTCACAAAATGACTGTATTTGTTCTAGAGATTGTCCATTTTATAAGGCTACAGTCAGTAGAACCTCAACCTCCAAACTGGTGGTCTCTCATCTTTGTCTTCGGTGCCATTTCTGTGAACGAACAATGGTAGGAACTCGTAGCCTTACAGTGTCCCTGATCATGCGAATGGTGATGATCATCCCAAAACCACAAGGGGGGAACTGATGGATCAACTGAAGGCAGCTGGGGCCACAGTTACAAAAGAAACGGTTGGTAACACACTACGCCGTCATGGATTGAAATCCTGCAGCGCACGCAAGGTCCCCCTGCTCAAGAAGAAACATGTACAGGCCCGCATGAAGTTCGCCATTCACCACCTGAACGACTCAGAAGAGGCCTGGAAGAAGGTGATGTGGTCAGATGAGACCAAAATAGAACTTTTTGGCCTCAACTCAACTTGTTGTGTTTGGAGGGCAAAGAACACCGAGTAAAACCCAAAGAACACCATCCCCACCGTCAAGCATGGTGATGGCAACATCATGCTTTGGGGGTGCTTTTCAGCCAAGAGGATGGGACAACTCCATCGTATTGAGGGGAGGATGGACGGGACCATGTATCGTGGAATTGTGGTCCAACATCTCCTTCCCTCAGTGAGAGAGCTGAAGATGGGTCGAGGGTGGGTGTTTCAGCACGACAACGACCCTAAGCACACCGCCAAAGCAACAAATGAGTGGCTGAAGAAGAAGCACATCAAGGTTCTGGAGTGGCCTAGCCAGTCTCCAGACCTGAATCCAATTGAAAATCTTTGGACGGAGCTTAAAATTCGAGTTGCCAGGCGATAACCTCGGAACCTGAATGATTTGGAGGCTGTCGACGGGGAGGAGTGGGCCAACATCCCTGCCGAAATGTGCACAAACCTTGTCACAAACTATAAAAACCGTTTGACATCTGCGCTGGCCAATAATGGCTTTTCTACAAAATATTAACAGGCTGTTTCTCCAGAGGGTCAAATACTTGTTTTTCATCATCAGATGGTTATAAATTTTAATAAATTCATATGATGTGATTTTCTGGAATTTTCTTTGGGATTCTGTCTCTCACTGTTAGAATGTACATATGATTAAAATTATAGATCATTACATTCTTTTTAAGTGGGCAAACCTGCAAAATCAGCAAGGGGTCAAATACTTATTTCCCCCACTGTATCTAGAATTATTGGGGCAGTGATGGTGCAAATATATGTTTCTCGGGAACACCCTTATTTACGCACAGGTGGAGTGCATCAGGTTTTTCGATTATCAATTATGATCATCCAATTAATTACGATCATTTACTGAAGTTAAGAATGTTCGCTGAATCTGATAAGGCAGTTTGATAAGAATACAAAGATATTTCCCATTCTGATTACCAGTTCTAGCTAAAAAACATGCAGATAGTTGTTTTTGCATGACCTGGGGTTATATCTCCTAATAAATGACAATATAACATCCTGTTTCTCAATGACAATCAATTCTCTTTTATAGCAATGCTAAGTTGTTTTTGCCTATACTGTATGCGGTTACCATTGAATAAAAAATTCCCCTAATCTATTACTTTTCTTCAAGTGAAACCTGCAACTGATGCTGCAGCCTAATCTTGCTATGTGTTTTGCTAGAGTCTAGAAAAATCTGGATTTTGAACACTTTTTTTCTGCCTCAGGAAATGGTCAATATTGTCAGCATGAATGCTACCTTCATGGTAGCTGTTCCCTGGGGTCCTAACCTTTGATCCTCACCACTATTACCTGACGTAGGGGTCAGCGGTGCTCCGGGGAGGCCATTGATGGTAGCCATGTGCTGCATCTGGGCTGCTGCAAAGGCTGCCATTGGACTGAGGTAGCCCCCCTGTCCTACAGACGCCATCAATGCTGCCTGCTGCTGCACCTGCGGGTGGAGGAGGTGGAAGAGGAGATGGGATTAGAAAGCAGAGCAGAGAGTAATAAAAGGAATGCTGCTGTCTGTGAGGTCACTGAGATGAGAAAGACAGATAAAAGGAAGAAGTAGGGCTATAAAGTGAAATGAGGTACAGCGCAGAGACAAGAAAAAGAGGCTATTAGGTAGAAAGCAGGTATTGATTCTTACAGAATATCTATTCCCCAAACCATGTGTCTGTGTTTTAAGACTAACGTGAAAATCTGACATGTCCCACATTTCCTCCTCTGACATTATTTGATATTTACAGTTCCTTTCAAAACTATACATAGCCCTTAAACTTTTTCACATTTTATCAAGTTAGTACCAAAGATAGACTTTATAGGAGCAAATGTTAGAAATATAAATAGTCAGAAGTGTGACTTACATTTCCATTCAGGCCTTTGTCAGAATAGCAGTAAATAATATTCAGTGCAACCAAAATGGAAATAAAACATATTCCACATTACATCACATTACTAAATGTTTAAACGTAATTTCCATCACATTTTGTATTAAAATCCTTTACCAGTTCTGTTTTAAGAATGTCATGGTGGTCATGACGTACACCATTGTTGCATCTTTGTGTATTTGTATATTCAACCCAGTTAAATAATGGAGTCAATTAGTTGGACAGAGGGACAATGTCCCACACAAACTGGGAACTCTAATCATCCTTCAGGACAGGTAAGTTAGGAGCAAGGCTGCAAAAACAAAAATATCTCATGACTGGTATCATCCACACCTGCTCCCAGTGCATGTTGGACTCTTTAGGGCTGCTGTGTATGCCAATCCTTTTTCTGTTATACGTGGACACAATCTCAATTTATAGTCGAGAAGAGGAAATCAGAGTCTCATCTTTGCTTTTCGCAGATAATGTAGATCTGTTGGCTTTTTTAGGCCCCAACATGCAGTAGTATGCAGCTGAATGTGAAGCAGCCAGGATGACTCTCCTCCAAGCTCTTTGGTCATAAAATGTTGGATTCCCCCCCTCCCCCCGGGTTCTAGATCAGTTACTGCTTAAGAGCAAAGGAGTTTAACTACATTACACTATTGTTGTGTTTTTTTGATAAAGGATTGTAGGATAGACTGGAATATGGACAGACTAATGATTACTGTAATGATTTTGCCTTTTTATAGCAGACAAAGCCACATCAGTAATGTGGGTTCTGCTTCTTGCTGTGGTAAAAAAAAAAAAATGCTGAGGCAAAATGCAAAGCTCTTGATTTACTAGTCTATCTACATTCTGACCCTCACCTATGGTAATGAGATATGGATCATGACTGAAAAATTGAGATTATGGGTAGAAGTGGCCAAAATGAGCTTGCTCCATCGGGTGGCTGGACCTAGCCTCAGAGATATAGTGAAGAGCAATTCCAGTTTAGTTCCCTCATTTGGCAGTGATGGAAGTAGAGCCTCTGATCTCTATCAACAACAAAAAAAAGAGTCAGTTGAGGCGGCATTGGATTTGGATTGATGGGTAGGTGGAGATAAAAAACAAACAAGCAACTGTCAGGACAACAGTCAGTTTGCTCACCGTAGGGGAGGTGGGGTTGAAGATGCTTCAACAAACCCAGTGTCATTTAGACACAGCAGACATAACTGTTAGGATAATGTTCTTTGATTTCTCCAGTGCATTCGACATAATTCATCCCATGATTCACATAAATGCTCTGTCGGAACCCCCAGAAGATTCAGATGAAGGTCTCAACAATCAACTGGATCAAACACTACCTGACAAACAGACCAGTTTGTGAGACTTAAGGGTCAAGTGTCTAATCAAATAGTCAGCAGCACAGGAGCACCACAGGGGAAAGTACTCTCACCATCCTATTTACTTTGTACACCTCAGACTTCCACTAGAAGACGGAGTGATGGACTGATAGACAGCTTTGTGTGATGTGTGCATGGTGTAGAAACAATCATCACACTCTGAATGTGAATAAAACAATGGAGAAGACTAGATTTTAAGAGAAACTAGAATGGTTCAACCCTATTGCCATAATGGGATAAGAAGTGGAGGTGGTGGAGGTATATAAATACGTCTGAGTTCACTTGGATAAATAGACTGGAAACACAAGTTATCTACAAAAAGGACAAAAGCAGATTGCTGTGAGGAAGCTCAGGTCCTTCAGTGGTTTCAGCAACATGCTGCATATCTTCCTTAAGTTTGTTGTGGCGAGTGATCTCTAGTGCCATCATTTGTTGAGGTAGCAGCATCAGAGTAATTGACTTATAAAAGTTCAACAATCTGATAAAGAAGGCCGGCTTTGTTCTGGGAACTCCTCAAGAATCTCTGGATATTATTTCACAAAGGAGAATTCTTCAGAAAATGAAGACTATTAAGAACAAATCCTGAGAATCTTCTATGTCAGACTATCATTCAAAAAGTGTCTTCAGTCTGCAGCTTCTTCAGATTTGTTGTAAGACAGACCGCTACAGAAGAACCATCCTGTGTACAGCCTTCAGCTTCTGGAACAACTGTTTGAAGAAGTCCCTATGGTATCACAACATTTAATTTCCATTTTAGATCAATAACTACGTTTTTTTTTTTTTTTTTTACTGAATTGAGTTTAATCTAAAAATAAAAGAAGAATGGCAAAACATCAATCGTTCTAACACATGGCTGTCCACATGTGGATAATTTTGATAATAGGACTACTAGTTGATCTTCCACAAATCTGGACATTTTGAAAGAGTTGCAAGAACAAGGCAATTTCTCTCAAAAAGCTACCAGACATCCCCTTTACAGTTTACCTGAAACAACAAAGGAGACACCAGAAACATGTAGAAATATGCTAGTTTACTGGCCTGTGTGTCTTTTATTTAACAGAAGCAATAAAGCTGGCAAGAGACCCACACAGAGCAGAAACTTGACTTTGAAATGAATATTGTTTTGTATGAAAAACTCTAGACATGTAACTTTAATCCCGATGAACTGGTTTAGATCACAGTTAATTTCTGGTAAAACTTCAAAATCCAAGAACATAAGTGAGAAACTTTCCATCCAATCTGAATATTCTAAAGCTTTTCTTGAAAGACAGAATGTGCAAAAATTGTTTAATATTGACTCAGGTCAATATAAATGCACCTAAAACATTGTTTTTTACTTTATAAAATCACTAGAATCACAGCCATGTATGTTTTTCCTTCCACTTTTAAAGATATGCACTGCTTTCTACACTGCAAAAAATGGTAATCTAAATAAGTCATTTTTTCTTAAACTAAGTGCATTTGTTCTTGTATTGAGGAGGTAATTGAGATACTTTGCCAATGGAACAAGACAATTTACATTTAAAATAAGAAAAAGCAACTGCATTGTCTTATTTCAAGTGCATATTATCTAATAATCTTATTTTAAGAGTAAAAATACTCATTCCATTGGCAAATCATCCCATTTACCTACTAAAATGAAGGGTAAATATACTTGATTTAAGACATTTTTACTTATTTCTAGACCATTTTTGCAGTGTAGTAGTCTAAATCCAAATCAAGTACATTCCAGATTGTGGTTGTAATGTGATAAAATGTGAAACGGTGGAAAGGGAAACAGCCTATTTACGAGTTGAGTTTTATCACACTATTTAATCTCCACGATTTATTGGATAAATAACTCTTGAAGAAAAGAGTGCATAGAAATATCTATATATGTGACTCTTGCCTGAGCGTATGCTCCGTAGGCTCCAAACTGCAGGGCCATGGGGTTGAAGATGCCCATCTGACCGGCCATCTGCTGCATGCGGCGGATGGTGCGCTCCTTATCCGTGTCAGCGAACTTTACCACCAGACTGGACGAGGCACCCTGTGCACCCACCCACACACACACACATACCCAGCAGGAAATTTTAGAGTGGTTCCATTGACATGGGACATAAGCTTGTATTTGAATTGACACACCCACACCACTACACATGTGCTTTCATGATTCATGCCAAGGCAATGGCCTAAGAGCTACAGTTAGTGCTCACTCCTCTGAAACATTTGGGGTGAGTTACATCCAAAGGACAAATCTCCTCCTTGGGAATAATTAAGTCTAACTTAACTTTAAGAAGGCAATCAAACGATATTTGACTCATTTGTCTGGGAGACTTACCTCCCTCTCTCCCTTTCTACCCCTCTCTCTCTCTCTCTCTCTCTCTCTCTCTCTCTCTCTCTCTCTCACCATCTCACCATACACAGTTAGAGGATACTCACAGGCATTGTCTGGCTGCCGTGAAGTGCACCAATGGCTGCCTGAGCTTCAGCATGAGACGAGTATTTTACAAACGCACAACCTGCGGGAATTGGAGATTGGAGATATGTGAAAACTAGGGTGAAAAAATGAACGTTACAATATTTCTAGTCACACACAAAAGAAACATTAGGAGTAAAGTTTCTGACCATTCACCAGTGACGTTCCAACTGGAGGCTCGATAAGCTAAGGAAAAGCCACTTTGGCACCATCAACAGGGTTCCAATGCTACCTTGTACTGACAAGTGTCACTGATGAATCTGAATGATCCCGTTCACAGTAATTATTGAACAAACCCGGCTGAGTAAGCTAGCTGATGAAGCCTTGTTAATGGAGCTTTATGCAGGAAACAGAATGATCAAGCACACTGTAATCATCAAGCTTAGTTATTAACGGACCTCATTGATTGGCTGCTGAACCCAGAGCTGAACTTTATCCACTGAACGTGCTGAGTACTCTGACAGCATTTTAAAACGATTGCTTTTTTTTAATAACATAATGTGAAACCTGATGGTTCACAAGGACGTTTTCCTTTTTTATCCCAATCTTAAAGTTAATGGGCTCATCTGTGTTATGCTCAGTTACAATATGTGGTTTAAACAATTGTTTATATGACATCTCTTTTTTTGGTTTTGAAGAAAAACAACAAACCAGGTGTCAGAGAAGTAGAAAAAGAAACGTAGTAAGAAAATAAAAGTCATGCAAAGACACCAAATCATCTCAGATTCTCTCTCCTCTGAAAGCGTCGTTGCGCAGCAAAAAAACTCTACCTTTGCTGTTCCCATCAGGACCTCTGAGGATGGTGCACTCCTCAATGCTACCGAAGGACTCAAAGAGGCGTCGCACGTCATCTTCTGACTGCTGCTTGTTAAGCATGCCCACAAAGAGCTTTCTGTCTTCTAAAAAGAAGGGAAAGAAGGTCATGATCAGAGGATCAGATGTGCCTTTAGAGGAAAGCTCTAGGAATACATTCAAAAAGAATCAAAGAGAGGTTTATCTATGAGCCTAGAATGGACCGGCTTTGATACCAGAGGAAATGCAATAAAAGATGCAGTAAATACAAAACATAATCTTTAAACCACTGCAGCATCGAAGATAAAGTAGTCCTTCCACCATGGTCATACTTTAAATCTTATTTTTGCCTTCTATAAACTTATTCTTTGTGGATCTGAATATGATATAATCACATACTTTTTGTGAAACACTAAACGCTGTTAGATCAATGTGTATCACTTACGTTTAATCTCTAATCAGAGTAGTGCTTGTGTATTGGGATAAACTGTTTAAAATTCACAGCACTATAATGCATCAGAACAGAACTTGACATTAATGTCTGAGTTTGTCAATCTTTTTCATATTTGATAATTGTTTGACCACTTAGGGGTGAACCCCCCCCTTTACATAGTTATTGCATGTTCCCAAGTTGTTAAATAGTTATTTGCTGAAACAGTCATAAAGTGGGTTGAGCTGTCATCAGTTGGAGCATCCTGAAGTGACTAACTCTTCACCGACACAGGCAGAGTGTCTGTATAGCATTTCATGAGTAAAGTAAAGTTATTAATGAGTCAATTCATTGACTTTATTGATCACACAGTGGAGAAATTTACTTGTTAAATCGGTTGAATAGTCAAAAAGAAGAAGAAGGGGCCAACAGTAGGAGAAGGTGCATGGAGTATATACAGTGCGTCCACATAGACAGCTGAATGTCATATAAATATGTATGTTCTTTAGCAGTTGAGCATATTTGGCATCTCTAAATTGTAAATGCTGCAAAACCTTTCAATACAATAATAGAGGAACTACAATCATGTTCGATTGGCAGGCTAAGACTGACCTTAGAAAGGGCTTGCTCAGAGCAATATTTTATCCAGAATGTATCAAAAATCTTTTGTTTTTCACTAATGAACAGATACAGCATTTTTTATATTGAAAATATTTTATTCACTTGAAGTGGTTTCATGAGTTGGATATTTGTGCAGATACCCAGCCTGCATTGATGCAATGGCTCCACCATTATTAATGTAATGTCTATTAATGCAACCTGCAACTCTAAGCATGTTAATGTTATCCAAAGTCAGCTTTAAATGCATTCTTTCCTTCTTTAAGTTTAGCTGTTTTTCAGTGCTATATTGCTCCAAACTCAGGTTAGAAATGCACAAGTGGGATGGAGACTTTGCATTGTACTGGTGCTGATGCTACCATTTTACTTTTTGAAGTGCTTGTGCCACACTCTTATAGTAGTTAACAAATGAGCAATGAAAGTACTCTAAATGTGTTGTGCCCCAATGCGTTTTAAAAGGAAATCTGCTGGTAACTTGCAGCTGTTTTTTTTCTTTCTTGGCAACACTTTTTAGCAGAGTGTCTAATCCCTTGAAGCATAAAGAAAAAAAAAAACATTATTTGCTAAAAATTCACTTCCATTCAGCAACACTATGTCTAAAAAGGCTGGTATGATAGACCTAATCAGAGTTAATAAATACTGCATTTATTCAATTAGTTCTGGACTTCATCTACAGCACCTTGCTTTGTACCATCTGGACTGGTAATAATGCCACAGCATAAACAGGCTGTGCAAAGCTTCCCTCTGTTCACTGATGGCCGTGCTTTAATGTTGTAGGTCATTAAAAAAAAACACTTTTTTACTTTGAAAGGTGTTGGGATCCTGGTAGTTTTTCAATTTTTTTGCAATGTATGAGATAAATAAAACAATGACAACAGAAATTTTTAAAGAAGGGAAAAAAGAGGTTATTTCCCAAGTTTAGATGGTGTTTATTAAACTTTATGATTTGAGGGATAATTTTCTGTCTGCAACATGCAGGGAAAAATATTATCAGAGGTTATATGGAACCTTTAACAAAAGGAGAAAGAAACTAAAATAAGACATCTTTGGTCCGAACCTGTCACACGCATTTGACATTTTTTTTCTTCGAATCAGAGGATCCTACTTCCTGTAGATAAGGAATTGCACCTGTCGTAGGTGTCAGGCAGGAAAAAAGACAGATGCGTTGGTGTTCCTGTCCTCAGGGCTCAAATCTAGCTGCAGTCTAAGTTCAGCTCTGCCGTATCTTACTTTGTGCAGAAATCACAAGTTTGCTGCCATCAATTTAATTGCCGATCAAAAAAATATAAGCTATTGTTTGAGCACTGAGAGCAGATTTTCAACACCTTAATCCAAGATTAAGTGAGATATTTCAAACACTTTGTTCTGTTAACTGTAATGATAATAACCAACAGCTAATCCAAAAGAAAAAAAAAAAGCCTTCATCAAAGAAATGGGTTAATTTATGGCCTATATAAAAATGGGGAAGACAGATATGACACCCTCTGGTCATTTCTTAAGAACCTGACCGTTCACAGTTCTTTATCAAAGCATATTAACAGAAAATTTAATGTAAGGAAAAGGAAAAAAACAGTTTTAGAAAGTCATATAAATGCATTACCATAAAGTACTGTGTTTGGAAGGTTATGGCCAACAACCTTCCAGAAGATCAGGTTCTCAGAATATGAGATTAAGTAAACAACAAAATATGACTTTCAATACTTGTATTCAAAATCAAGTTGACTGCTGATCTGATAGTTGTTCAGCACTTCAGTTAATTATGCTTCCAATAAGTAAGCCACAAAAGAATACTTACAGATATTGGCTGCTGGTAGATTATAATTTAAAAATGCAGCAGAAGGAAAATCTCTGATTAAAATACAAGAGCAAGCCTAAATGATTGTGAATGTTAGGGAAGATCCACATTGTGTGGAAGGCAGCTGGAGTGGTAGCTTCAAAAAACTTTCCAGACATGGGTTTGACTGCCACTTTCTTTATGTTAGACTAGCCAGCTACCATAGACGATGTCAGAAGAGTGAGAAGATCTGGAAATCAAGGAGCCAGACTCTGGAGGAAGAGTGGAGAAGCACATAATCCAAGCTGCTAAAGCTGTCTTTCCACTGTCAGTTATGGGCTGTGTCTTCTACTGGTGTTTGCCAACTGGGATTTTTCAAGTTCAGTCAGCTCAGCTTCATGCTTCTTCCTGCTCATAAGCTTAATTTAGAAGTTCATTTAATATGTCATCAGACCATGACACCTGCTCACCCTCCCAAAAGTACCAACACCTGCTTTAAAAACTATAGTATCACTGTGCAAAACTGGGCAGCAGTGTGGTTGACCATATGGCCTATTAAGTATTTTCAAAAAGGAGATAAGAGACCAGATTCATTACTGTACCGTTGAATTCCTCAAGACTTCAGCAGCACCAGCGGATCCCCTCAATACAATTAGGTTATCATGCAAAAGGAACAAATGCATTAACTCTACATAAGATTGGCGTACTTATCAGTTAAAAGTCTTTTTTTTTTATTTAGTGTCAAAATCAGCTGTAATCATCAACATTTCAAACAGCAGTTTGAAAAACATCACTGTACATATTTTTTTTTTCAAAGGAGATGATGATGAAATAATATTTTGAACTCAGCAATTAATTATTTTAATAACATTTAAAGTTATCGAGATGCACCTGTAATCTTGTACAGGTTGAATCAATCATTCTTGGGTTTTATGGATGCCGTTTTGGGATTGTGTATTCGAGTCACTGAGTTTAAAGGAAAAAAGCGGCCAGCTGAAGCAGGTGTGTTGAAATGTGCGGCTGTTTCCTTTTCTTACATTCCATAAACTCTCAGGTTTTGTGGGAATGGATGTATATGTTTGGAAATTAATGAGCCTCAGAGTAATTGCCTGTAAACACAGTGTGAAAATGAACGCGCGTGCAGATGTGGATCTCTGTGGGCGTCTGTGATGTGAGCGTGCTTGGGCGCGCGTTGCGCTGAGGGTCCGTTTCCCCCTCTGTCTGTGCTTAACAGGGTGTCCTTGCCGAGTCAACAAGACTAATCTGCGCTCTGGCCTTGCACCGGGTGGGGGGGCTGGTGGGATGAGTGTTTACAAGAATTCTCTGCACATCAGAGTTGTAGAGCACACGCCAACGCAGACGGGCACACATATCTTGAAAGGTCCGACTCCTCCGCTTTTTGGAAAGATTGAGGGACATGTTGAAATTGATGTAATCTCATTGATTAAAACATATAATCACATGCTAGTCAATGCATCCTCTTGCTATACTGAGACTGAATGGGTTAAAACAAAGTTTTACTACCATACAGAAAAAGGTTTCCTTTTTTAGTGTGTATACCAGAAATACCTTTTTAATCAGATAACCGTCAGCCTCAAGGTTCCTTTTAATCACAAACTCTGTGCTTTTTCCCAATTTACAGTAGCTTTATTTCCCAGTTTAGATATGTAACATCTTACCTTCAAAAAACAACTTTCATTGCATCATCTAATTTTTCCAACTAAATTAAAACATAAAAAAAGCACAAATATTACATAAACCTTCTGGTTCCTTTGCCTTATTTCATATTAATTTATATTAGTTCTGATGGATTCTTCAGTTGTGTCCGATAAAGGTTCTGCAGCTATTAGACACTATAAAAAGCGTTCCAGCAATTCTCTCCAGTTCTTCGATAACCCACAAACCTGCAGATTTTTTCTACATCACAATTAATATTTGATATCAGCCATCCAGCTTCAGGGATAATTCTGGCCAAATGTTTGATCTTTTCTCCAATCAGAGTGTTTTCAGCTATTTTTAACTGGCTGGTTTTCTTGCTTTACAGCAGTGGTCTCAAACTCCTATCCTTGAAGGTCAGTGTCCTTCAACTTGAAGATGTGTCCCTCGTCCTTCACACCTGAATCTAATGGCTTAACTGCCTCACTTGGATGCAGTCAAGCTCTGGGGAGCTCTGCTGATGAGCTAATATTTGAGTCAGGAGTGTTGAAGCAGAAACACATCTCAAAGATGCAGGACATTGGCCCTAGAGGACTGAAGTTTGAGACCACTGCTTTAATCGTTATTATTTTTTTTATTGAGGTCGGAGCCATTCCTGAAACTTAATATGTTCCAAAAATTAGTTTGGATATTCATTTGAGATCATGGTCGAGCTACAGCATTTTAATCACATAGCTGTTAATATGTGGCACGGTTGAACAATTTAGAGGTTGTTCTTTATCTTCATTATTTCACACACCTTTATGCCATTCTTTGATATAACTGGTAGAGAAACATATTCTCAGCATGAAGCTACCAACCTGTTTTCACTGTTTGGTCCTCATAACCTCACATAGACTCCTCTAAGTAGTCCTCTTGTTAATGTAACCAAATTTGTTTATTCTCACCATAAAACTTCTTCTAAATAGGTGTTCGTTTTTTCTCTGTGGGCATTTGACATTGAACCTGTTCAGTTTGTTAATAGACTGATCTATTCTGGGTCAAGGGCTGGTTATACTCCCCGCAGCAGTGTGTCGCAGATATTTTTGTTTTATCCCCAATATTGAAGCGTGGTCTGCGCTATGTTATTCTACGCCTCAACGCAAGAGGGACAATCAGGAACTAGCTTTGAGTCTAGATACGGCCGAGGAGCTGAGGAAGTGGGGGCAAGTTTGTCCAACAACGGAGGGCGAAAAAGAGCGGGGATCCAGGTGGAAAAAGGGTCCCATCATTATCGCGCATCTCGCTCTTCTTGCTTGTCCAACTTCACGAGTTGTTTTCCGCAATGGCGGTCAAACAAAACAAGCTGGTAAGGTACCAAACAGGAAATATGCATACTGTAAAGCGGATGTAGATTTGACCAATCAGGTGCCTCCTATCTGCGGCAGGGGCGGTGGCACATTTGCATTCACTGCGACACACACACAAACAGACAACCTTGTTTGTGAGTATAAATCAGCCTTAAGACTTTAATATTTGAAGCATCTACTCAGTGGTTTACTTTAGAAGGTTAAAGTCTGAACACAACTGAGTTTTTACAACCTGATAAGAATGCAAACACACCCCTGTAGCCTTGACCTCAGCCCGACTGATGAGCTTTACATGTTTAAAAACTGTGCCAGTGTCAGGAAACGATAACACCCTATACCAGTTCTTAAAGGAAGTGCTCAAATATTTAGTCTGAATAAAGCCAGGGTTGTAGTCATGTTGCAACCTCATTAACAACAGCTTGTATGTGAAATTATTCATTTTTAAACCTTGGTTATGAATTTTGAATCAACATTATTATTTTGGGGGATTGAATGAAGCTGCATCATCTGGTTCATTAACTGGTTCAAATGCATGATTAGAATATGCAAATGCAGGACAGCTTTTTATGAAAAGGAGGATGTGGGTTTTAGATGTGATGGGGACTGTTTTTCTCAATATACATTTTTGATGAAGGTAAGACCTATACAGAGTGTGACTCTGGTTGTATTAAGCTCCAGTTTGAGTAAAATTCAGCCTGTGTTTAGGACATTGAGGGAAAACATAATTCCCTGAGCATCCTTTTGGATAGGACAGTAAACAAAAACCTATTTAAGCAGAAATCCTTATGTCAACTTTATGTGGCTCAATGCAAACAAAGCTTTTCATTCTGTTATGTGGCAATGAACCTGCCAGTCTCTAGTGCTCACTTTATTCTTCATAGATTTACACATCCATAAGACTGTTCCTTCTCTGAATGACGCTCTGTACCGGGTTTTCACATTCCTATTCAATATTATCATTACATAAAATAAGAGATAAGTAAAAAAATAAAAATAAAAAATGCACTACCTGTTCTGAAAAAGTAGAAAAATCTGAAATTATAAGGGTGGATCAGGCCAAGTGGAGATGATGGAAAAGTCGAATTAATTTTCATTCATTCTTTAGACTCTAAAATTTCAGATGATGATATTTTTTTTAAGTTAAAATGATTACAATGTGCTTGCCGTTTGCCCAACTGCAACAACCAATTGGAATAAATGTATTCCATATATCTTAGTAGTACCAATTATACTCAATATTTTGTTTTTCTGAACATTTTTTGACAGGATTCGACCAGATTTTAAGGTGAAGAAGGAACACAAATCTGGAAATGCGAGAACTGGGGCAGCACATGACAAACCTGAGAAACCAAAAGATGAACATGAACTACAAAATGCTCAATTTAAATTATTAACTGATTGTAAGATCTCTTTTCTTGTCTTGGGCTGTCCAGGGACTCCAAAAGCAAATGATCTAAAACTTAGAATCATGTACAGGGAAACAAATGGTATGTTTAATTTCTAGTTTCTCCTTTTTAACAAATAAATGAATAAATAAATAAAACAGATGTTTAAAGTCAAATTGAAATCACCTATTAGGCACTCAGAGGGTCCGAATTTTCAAAGAACTAACTTAGTACTACTGGTACTAGTACTAATGCTACTAATAATTAAATATTTATCATCATTTATGTTGACTTGTTTTTAATTTTCTATGATTAATCCAATCTGTCTCATCTCACACTATCTCATCTTGAGGTATAAGAGGAATAAAAGAACATGCCAGACTTACTTATATTTATATAAAACCATAAATTCCTTCTAGTTCACAATCATGCTGTACAGTAGGTTTCCTTGGCCTTTCACCTTAAATGTAGAGGATTTCCATGATTCTGTCACACAATGAGAAAATGTTCAGTACGTGCGAGCAGTTCTGCCAGGTACTCTTTTTCCTTGTTCTCTCCACTCAGTGAAACGTTATGCCCTTGTGGAGCAGCGCTTAGCTTTGAAACTTTGCAGCGTGGAGAACAGATGAGAGACGTGAGGGAAGGACATCCGTAAAGAAACAGATAGACCTCCCGTACAGACGCGTGTGCATGTCTTCCGCTGCTGGCTCTTTGTTTCCTCCCGCTCGCTGCTTGCTTCACTTTTCTCCCGCTCCATCAATCACCCCCCCTCCCCCGCCCTCCCTGACAGCCGGCAGACTAAATAGAAGAGGATGTTGCACGGCCTCTCTTCCTTTCTTTAAAGGTTATTTTCTTTACAGGGTAACACCTCTCTCTCCCTAGGCTTCTGCTGCTCATCAACCTTTAGCTGCTTCCATGTTCCAATGCTATTTCTCTCCCTCTTACTTGTGGATAGAAAATCACTTTGTTGCCAATTATATTAACCACTTGAAGGTCTGAAATGCTCTGGACAAAAAGATGGCTTCAGCCTTATCTTGTGCAGCCCTGTGATTGATGTCAAGAGCAGGTCGCCAACCGTCTAGACATAAAAAAATTCCTTTAAGCCATCTCAATAAAGTACCTTGTAGATATATATACAAGGTATATATATATATACCGGTATATATATATATATATATATATATATATATACTACAATGACATCTTTCCTGCAGGACTTCTCTTTCAATCTGCCCTTTGCTGGACAAATGCAAACATACATGTTTACCTACAAATCATGTACGGTTTGCTTTGTTGGAAACAGATTTTTACAGGTGTTAAAACAAAAGGAAAAAATGTTATTTTCTTCCTTAACGAGGGGTGTGCTTTTCTCTTCATGCACGCCTGCATATGATGATAGACAGGAGCTGTAGGCTGAGCTGGCTAGGGAGAGAGCTCTGTTTACATAATGCCTTTTGAGCACCGGAGGGTCCAGGCCAGGCTGCTATGTCAGCTTGCGTCGAGGCACTTGCCGTTGTCTTAACGGGACAGATAATGGTGAAGCTGATGTATGCAGGCAGCATGGTTGGAATATTAGAAACGGAGGGTGGAAGAAAAATAAAGAAGAAAAGAAGGGCGTACGCTACCTCCTCGACTCTCACTGTCTGCTGGCTTCACCTGGATTGGTCTGTTCATCTGTGACAGTTTGAGAAAAAATTAGCGAGAGAAAAAACAGAAGAAGGAAGGAGGGGAGGAGGGAAGGAAGGAAGGAAGGAAGAGAAAAAGAGAGCAGTTAGCGTCATGTAATGTTGCATGCTTTTACGTTCCTCTGAAAAAAAAAAATCTTTTGAAGAATGACTCAACCAAATCACGGTTTAAGTGTATTGAAAATCTCCAAAGCTGCAGCACTTATAGCCAGTGGGGGAATATGGGCTGTAAATATCATTTGATCTGAGATGAAAGGGGGAGAGAAGGTTGGACAGAAGGGATCAGCAGAGGGAGGACAGGAATGGTAGAGGGAGGATGGTGGAGAGTTAACCGTTGGCTGGCAGAGCTATATGAGCCATAATTCAGTGTGGATTATCTGATTTGAATATCAATGGTAAATGACACACACAGAGCAAAATTAATAAAAACACACTTTTGTTGAAATGCAGCTCTTTTTAAGAATGTCTCTGTCAGTTTTGCATATCTAGAGACTCTCTTTCATTCACAAAAAAGTCAAGCTCAGTGAAACCGTATTACCATTTTTTTGGTCTAACCAGATACTGGATGTACTGTAGGTCATTTGTTGACATGGCCATTCAAAATTTGCAAACATATCTAGCAAACACTTCTTCTTCTAAGAATCTCTTTTGTCTAGCTCCATTCAACCAAACCCTTTTTTTTCTGATTTGATTTATAAGAACTTTGAAAACATCTATTTTTCCTTCTAGTTTCAGTACTAGGTGCTCCTTTGTTTTAGCAAATAAATCTAAATCCAAAGAGAATAAACGTGGAAATATGTGGAAAAAGTTCAAGAGTTATGAGGAAGCCACTGCAGTATAACCTCCTCATGTATTAGTTCTCAAACTGCAGGTTCTCACTACAAAATGTCCCGGCCAATCTTCCTTTAGCACTTATACACACACATCTACACACTCTCTGTCCCCCACTGAGACCTTTCCACACTATGTCCGCCGAGGCGCTCCTTTCATTTCACTCCTGCCTGTCAAAATTTCCCTCTCCGCCTCGCCACCCTGCTAAACGCTCTCCGCCAATCAATTTTTAATAATGCCAATCGCCACGCTGCCAGGAGGGATGGAGGAAGAGGAGGAGGAGGACGAGAGCATAGGAGAGGAGCGGATTGGGAAACGAGGGATGAAAGGTAAAAGTAAAATGTTTTGCTTTTTCTATTTTTTTATTGTGGCTGAGATGCAGAATTTTCTTTTTTTTCCTTCAAAATGTTAATATATTTCCTTTGAGTTTATGATAAACTAATCATCTTTTATGACTTGGCAAGATCTTTCCAAAGGTAAAACCCTTCCAGCATGGGGCTACATTTTTTAGCCCGGACCTTCACCCTTCTGCTGCAGTTCATATCAATGCTTGCTTTAAACAGTTACCCATTCCCCCCACCTCCTCCCTCTCTTTGACGGCCAAGAGAACCCTACTAATGTTTTTAATGTGCAGTAATGCATTATTTATCAGACTGGCTGTTGATATGGAAAAAAGGACGAGTGGGGATAAGGAAAGCAGACGGGGAGTTTTAAGAAGAGTAAAAAGTGAGAGAGTGCGAATAAAAGAAGTCAACAGAGGGAAAATGTGGGGATAAAAGACAAACTGAAAACACATTAAAAAAGGGAAGGTAGTGATGGATTGTGTGTGAGGCAGGTGTTTGAGGAGAGGGAAGTGTGGTGTTAAAGAAGGAGGAGAAGACAGAAGGAGGAATGAGGAAAAGGGGGCATGGGGGAGATGAGGACATAGATCAGACTACGCTACAAGGTCAGCCCAATGCTCCCAGGGGGCCTATAAGCCTGCATACATATGAGCACTTTTACCATGACCCATACAAATGCTATGCCCTCAATCTGACCTACTTGTGTTTCTCCACTGTTCGTTTGAATTATTATTTTTTTTTTTTCATTTTGCGCAAGTGCAAATTTTGGCTTGCAGCCTATGACCAAGTTTGCTAATTTTACAGAGGGAGAATGCACTAAAATAAAAGAATATAAAGTTAGTTCTGGTTTTATTAAAACCATAAGTCTTCATTCCCAGCGTGCAGTGATTATAGATAGGTCGGTGAATCCTTTAATTCGTCACTGCTAGTTGAGCAGCAGAGTGCAAAATTTCCGCTAATAAAATTTTAAATACCGCTCAGAACTTGGCGATGTGGTTAAACCATTATTTTCTTTTGTCACCAAAGCCCGAGTGGTGTTTCATGGGCTCTCTATCAGTGAATTTCCATTATCCCTAGGCCCATAACTGCTTCAAGGTCAGTTTTATCATCCCACTCATAATGGGGTAAGTTAGCACCAGCCCAGTGGACGGCTGATCCCAAAACAGTTGTTAAAGGCCGACGCTGACTGGTCACGATGGGTCCCTCGAGGAGATCTGCAATGACGGTTGCCAAAGCCAGATGGCAGGGTTGAGGCAGAGAAGCTGTCTACAGTCTGATGCCAGTTGTGCAGAAAATTACCATTTACAATAAAGGCACTAGGGTGCATACATTTATACCCATGTATGCAAAGTGTTGGACTTACAGACATGCATAAGTGGGTTGGCTTACATAAGCAAACACCTTAGTTTCTTCTCTTTAGACTTGTGTTATCCATAAAAAAACAGCTTAAGAAATAAAGTAAACTAATAAAGCGTGCATGGGAGCAGTGATCTGATACTAATCGGTATTAATTGAGGACAGGTAGACGGTCGGTTATTGCTCTCAAGCTGTTTTTTTGTTACATTTCCTGCAAACTGAACATTTAAATATGAACATTAACATTTGTTCCAGACTACCTGCTCACTTCTTTATTGTCTTCTGACATACCTTTGTGGTGTGTCACTCTAGGTAGAAAGTCACATTGTCCTTATAAAAAAAAGCTTCTTCATGAATGATCACATCCAGATACAGATATGCAACCAAACAAACCAAACAATACATAGTTAAATTGGGCCTTCTGATTTAAAGTTAGCACTGCCTCAATTGACATATTTTGCAGTAGGAGCCACCTTACTTAGAACTTCCCTCTTTCACCTCGTCCTTGTTATTGCCTCCTCTCTTCACTCAGAAATACCAGTGAAATCGCACATGGGTGTATTTGCTCCATAGCTCCTAAAAGTCTAACCTAAGCAATCTTGCATTAGAGTGGCTTTGGCTTGGCATGCAAGAAGAGCTGCGGCTCCATGAATGCATGAGACATGCACACACACCCGCGCACATCCTCTCCTCTGTTGATTATGTAAGTCAATGACAGCCCTCCGCCATAGATTCCCTGTTAACTAGAAACGTTGGGAATACATGGTGTGCATGCAGACTGTGCTGTGCAAAAACTGGTGAGTCACTCTTCTGATTCAGCCAGGCTCGGCCGGAGAGTCTAGCAAGGCCCCACAAGACAAGCTCTACAGTTTGCCTTATTAGATTTAACCCCAATACGGGGAAAAAATGCAGCCTTTGATCTGAGTTTTGTTGCTTATTGTATTGATTTCACTGCATGAAAGCTGCAAAAATTAAGTTACAAAAACACTGTTAAGATGACAACTCTATGGGATTTCAACCAGCTGGATTTCTGTACCCTGCCCTGTTATGTTCAATATGCCTCAATATGCACTTTATTACAAGTCATTTGAAGCAGTCCTAGTAACCACAAGCCTCTCACACACACAAAATACTGGATGCACGTTCGGGCCGAGCAGCACAAAAATGCTCACAAGGACACAGAAGTCCGCACTCACTCAAACTGCCATCCTTCTCAGAGAAAGAGAATATTGAAAGTATGCTTTACGAAACTCGAGAGAGGAGGCAGGATTTTCTCATTTTCACCCTCGTCTCGCAGATGTGTTTTTGAGAGAGAGAGCAGAGCGGTGCAGGCCAGGTCATTTCATTATCACAGTGAGAAAGCACTCCATGAAACTCTCACAGGGCGGCAAGGAAGGCTGCTCATAATATTCCACCTCTACCATTGTCAAAACTCTCTGTTTTACATTCTGCAGCTTAAAGCCTTTTTAAAAAACATGCCAACTGCCTTAATGTTATTCCATCCAATTTGAATGTTGATTTTTTCCCCCCTTTTCTGCGGCCTCTTTTCATACATATTTTCACAGTGCTGCCTTTAAAAGAGAGCATTTGAAACACGGCTCTGAAAACACTGGAATTCTCTGCAGAGGAAGAACGCCGGGCTTACGTATAACAAAATGCCAGCATTTGCGTCGAACGAACCACTGGCACTGAACCCAGAGCTGCTTTCCAAACCATCTCAGCATGCAAAACACTCATTTTGGGATGGAGACATGCCAACAGAAACATTAGCTGAACAAGAATACGGTTATAACCCTGTGAGATCCTTTTGGAGAGCTTGGGTCCAGTATGAAGTGGAAAGAAAATCTTTAGCTAAAAGATTATCTGGCAGACTAAAAATATTTAGTAGGTGTGAAACAGGCTTGACCACTAAGAGAACAGAATAGTTTTAAAGCATTGATTTAACAATAATTCACAGCTGAGAATCTTCTACATGTCCATTAAAGCTCCTAAAGTACATGCACATTTTTCTTCTTTAGCTATAGAAGCATTTTACACTAAAGAGACTCCCTTTATACTGCTAAAACATGAGCAGGAGATTGGTACTAGAGTCAGAGGAGACATTTTTAGTTAGAAAAAAAATAAAATTATTCATAATGTCCAATTTGTGTCATAAAGTATAGATATAATGTAAATGACAAACGTAAAGTAATATTGTTTTATTTAACCAGGAAAAAATTGAGAGATTGAGATTAAAAACCTCTTTTTCAAGGGAGTCCTGGCCAAGAGGCAGCAAAGTAACATAATAAACAGAGATACATTAAATTAAATGACAGCAACAGCTGATCGTTGGATCTCAGGGCAGAAGAAACAATGCTTTTCTCTTTTCTCTTTTTGTAAGGTACAAATGTTAGAGGGCAGTAATCCAAGAAGGGCCTTGTAAATAAAATGCTTTAAAATTAGAACAACACAAAATATATAT